GTGTACGAATGTACCTGGCTGATTTTGACTTTTTATTAAAAACTCAATATCACCCAGTCAAACTCAGCTTAGATATGGTGGAGTTATCTCTGGGATCTCGTCACTGTATTAATATTATTATTATCAGTGTATATTAGATATTCGAGTGATGTGTATAATTCTTATGCAATATACCTCATAGCGATCTGTATGTAATAGATCATAGGGACTTCAACAACCTGTGCGAGAGAGGGGTCACTGCTGTGTGATCGGGCCGTTTACATCAGGTGTCACTGTGCAGGTAAAGCAGTGTCTTTACACATTAACCTGCTCTGCTCCCACACTAGCAGTATATATAAAAGTGCAGAGTATAAAAGTATGGAGATATTTAACTGAGAGCAGATAGCTTGGGGCTGTTGATGCTGCTGGGGATTTTGGCCACAGTATCTGCAGTCAGAATGTGATGTAACACATGGCTACATGAAGCAGGCTGAGTCCAGCAGGAGCAACAGGGGCTCCTCCTGAGTCATGTCACGGCCACTGCCTCCTCTCACACACACACTATTGCAGCACATGAAGGGGTACACAAACACACGCACACGCACACACACACACACAGACACACAGACACACACGCAGCAGTTTTAGCACTGATGAAGGTTGTGACTTGAAGATGTTTTGCATACTTGGTTATTAGCGTCTCAGAGGAGTTTGTTGGTAGGTGTTCATTGGTCATTGTCCAGGTCTGAGTCAAACATAAACTCTCTGAGTCTAAGTTTATGTAGGTGGAGCTCCTTTCCTCTTTTTCGAGACGTTAGCTGTCACATTTTTCAGTTCTTCTGCCAGAAAGTATGGAAAGGTTAAACATGTCTTTGGCGAGTGTGGCTCCGGAGGTAGAGGGAGTTGTCCATCAGAAGGTCAGTGGCTCGTTCGTCGGCTCTTCCAGCGCTATGTCCTTGGGCAAGATAGCGAACTCCATATTGTCCCCTGAGTGTCTGTGTGATAGAGATGCGGTGCTTGTAAAGAAGTGTTGTGTGAATGGGTGAATGTAACTTGTATTGTAAAGCACTTTGAGTCATCGTTACTATATAAATGCATTTTACCATTTACTTTCTATGCAGCAGAGGATCCTCTGAGACTGTCCTCACCAGGAATAATGACATACAGTATGTTTTGTGTTTCCCTGAAAAGAAACGTGTTGTGGTCATGAATATAATTAGCCTTCCATCCTTTCATGCTACTGCTGCCTTTGCTACTTATTGTCCTGAGAGCTCAATGCACTGCAGCTACAGAAAACACATGCAAATAGATAAATCACAAGAAACAACCAAATACACATTCACTAACATAGGTGCAGCAAGATGTGAATGATTAGCTCCATTATTTCACAAAGCCTTTAATAATGATATATTATCTTTATTTATTTAGCACTTTTCAAAACAGCAGTCACAAAGTGCTCCACATAAAAAAAGCATAAAACTCAACAATAAAAACAACATAGTAAACCACACAAAACCACAAGACAGATAAAACCAACAGGAATAAACAGAAATCTTATAAAAACGTCAGCCTATGAAAGTGGCCATTCCACAAAGTTGGAGCTAAAATGGCAAAAGCACGACCCCCTTTTGTTTTGAGGGTGGACGATGGGACATTTAAGAGCAGGTGGTCAGATGATCTGAGTGATCTTGGTGGAGACTACAGTGTTTTAAGTTCAGAAATATAAGGGTGTGCCATGCCGTGTGTTGTGTTTAAGAAGACATCAGGGAATTCCTCCTATTGACGTTTTGGAGACGGTAAAAAAAAAAACAGTAAATTTTAACTCACAGCGCCAATTTATGCCATCCCATCAGAAATAGATCACACGTACAGTAGGCCACAGCAGAGATGACAAAGCCCCGCGTTGTTATTGTGGTTGCTAAGACTGTTGAATGTGTGAAGCTCCTCATGCTCAGGCCTATTCATCTCGCTTCATGTGAATACAGTAAGAACAGTAGCAGCCATTTTCACCTGACACTCACACTGTAAGTCCATTAAAACAGTTGTTTTAAGGATAAATTATACGTCTGGCTTTTGCTGCTGCGTTCAGGCTCGCAGTCAGTTTGATGCCTGTGTTGTTTGCTAGAGGCTACGAGGCAGAGATTGACTGATGGTGGCATCCGCTCTCTTTGTGTGGCAGCTCAAACTGACGAAAAAAAAAAAAAAAAAAAAAAAGGGGAGGAATGACAGAAGCCAAAACAGTATGCCAGCCACAGACAGGCGTGTGTGCTGCAGGCTGACACAGAGGCTCCCCTCAACAAACTGGGCCAGGTTTGAAAAGCTTAATTGCAGCTGCCTTGCTGAGTTTAGTCTAATACATTCTCATTCAGACACACTTGTTTGAACTTTTGGTGAGAATGCACTGTCTATGGAGAAACGATTCCTGCCTCTTTCTTCGGGGAGCCTGGTGAAATTGCATTCTATTACCAGAGGCAGGGATTTCACCCATAAATCCACAACCTTTAGGAATGGCCTATATTTTGCTGCTCATGCTTCATGAGATATCTGGGAGTTAGTGCTTCTTGCGCTGTTATTTAAACGGCACTCTTTGCTTTTATGTCCCTTGTTGCTTACTGCAGCAGTCTACCATGTGCATGTGCTGTAAATACATTTGCTTTGATGCAAATATGCAGCTGACATGCTAAGCCTATAAAAGAGGTGGGAATCCGATTTTGGAAACGATGTAAAAAGAGGGAAGAATTAATATTCAGCACTCAGCTACAACCACTCCTCCATAATGCATATCATGAATATATTCCACCACTAACTACTGAGTAATGAGATGCAAAGAAATCTACAAATGAGCAAAAATAGATCATCTGGCCCTGACACATTTTCTCTTCTAACAGCTCCATTCAGTGGCCAACATGCAGCTGTGATCAAAGAGCACTACTCCAGAGGGAGCAGGGTGTCCTGGTGGTGGTGGGGCAGACTATGTCCCCGACTGGAAGGTCACGAGTTTGAGTCCTACAGCAGCCGGCGTGTCAATTATCAGTCGGGTACCCCGCCGAACACCTACCTGCTCGCTAACTGCAGAGCACCCTGGATGAATGCCGAAAATGTAAATGTGACGCACGGAAGCCCCCGAGGATGTGACATGTTTCCTGTTGCAAACATAGCTTGTCGTGGCAGTTCAACCATCTGGACCGTGGGCACTGTGCTCAAGGGCAGATGAAAGACATTTGCCCACTCTAGCTTTTTTTCTCTCTCTCTCTCTCTCTCTCTCTCTCTCTCTCTCTCTCCCTCCATCAAACGAATTCTGAACTGACCTAATATTCTGACCTAGTTGAAATAATCAGCAGTGGAGATATTTTGCAAATTGCATCGCCGACCCTATTTGCACATAAATGTTGCCCTGTAGCTATGCACCGCCTTCAAACCTCAACCCACATTCTGAAGCAGACCTGGAAGGAGGAGGTGCGGGGGCCATCTCTAGGAGCTTATCTTATCAGTATCTATTTCATACTCTTGACTTATTCTGTTTATGTAGCATGGTAGCTGCGGCGCTACCTGCACACCACAAACAGTCAACAGTCTAATACGGTCCTGTGAGGAACATGAAGCCTTAGGGCTCCATAATTAGTGGGTAATTCCCACCATACACTGCTGAATTACTATCCCACTGATGAGGACTGTAGCAGCAGTAAACTCACATTCACACAAATAAAGACCTTGTTACTATGATCATCCCTCCATCTAAACATCAGCCTGAATTTGAACTCACACTTGTCACCAACAACACACTAAACCCTCTTTCCTTTGCCATGATGCTTCAGATCTGACGCCCCGGTAACAGGACAACATCTTTTTTATGCTTCTATGCTAAGTTACATTACACATTACATTACTACTTACTACACTGAATCATCTTTCAGTGCCTTCCAAAACCATTACAAATGACATTTTTCTGAACAGGAAAAGCTTCTAACTTGACCTTGAGTTGAGTGTTTTTTTAAAATTACTATTTCAAAGATCAAGAATGAACTTTGATGCTTGAGCTGTTTTGTGGTGCAGGTTGGAGGACTTGTTGAAACCCTGAGCTGAGGCAAGGGTCTGTCATTTGCCAACATAATTTTCAAACCACTTTTGTTACATCATGACTGATGAAGAAAACTGATGCATTATCAGTAGCCTTGTAACCACCAAATGATCAGCTGAGAGAGAAAGAGTGAGCTGACCCTGAATGCTTCCTGGTGTCGGTTTATTTTGTTAGCTCTGCCTTCCAGATAGTGATTTATTTTAGTGGAAATAAGTACAACAGTGAATGTGGGTTATAGGTTAGGTGTTGTCAGTGACCCCACTGTAGCCGGTGGGTTTTATTTTCTCTTAGAGCATAAATATCTGTTAAATATCAATAGAATACAAAATGATGCAGTGCAAACAACTTGAAATATAATCTGTGAACTGAAATAAATATTAAACACGTCTACTGTGTAATAAATTTAATAGGCTAATACTAAGACATTTATGTAATTTTATCTGACAAGTACAATAATACAATATAAACTTAAATAGAATAAAACTGTTATAAATATAATAGGATTACAATATTATATTATATTATTAATAAAATTGTTATTAGTAGGCTACTACTACTCAACAGCAACAACAACAGCAACAATAACAATAACAACAACAACAATAATAACAATAATAATAATAATAACTATAATAATAATAATAATAACGGTAATAATAGACCTAGGCCTATAATGGTGCTAATAATAAAAGCCACAAATTTAGTGCAAAACAAATCTTTCTTGCCTCTGAATGGTTTTAGTGCAGACCAGATGATATTTGCTGATGTGAGCTGCCACTTCCCAGCCTGCCTCCAGTGAATTGACGCGGCTGCCGAGCGCCGCGCGGCCAATAGGAGCACAGCGGGGCGGAGAGCAGCGGCAGATTGTACTACAGTGTAGTACTGCTGCCAACAGTAGACGCGTCTCCCGCTCAGTCTGTCGCTATTCAGCATCTTCTGGTTAATGGATTATACAGTTTCCCTCCAAGTGCAACATCAGCTGGCCGTGTTCCCGACACACTTCTATCAGGGCTACAGTGTGGAGTTACAGGTACATTCATTTTGCATTCCACTTGCCAGTCTAGTCTTCTTCTTGTTTTTTCTCTCTTCTTCTGTACTGTCCATGATGAGAGGCGTGCATGCTTGCAGAGGAGTGAGTGTGACTTTATGGAGATGCTTAGCTGCAGGGGGAAGGCATGGTTGTCGTGCTGCATGCTGATTTTTTTTTTTTTCCTCCTCACCGAGATTCTTGTTGCGTGCCGCCGCCGCCGGGAGTCGGAGCGGTGGCAGCCCGCGCGCTGCGGTGCACATGTGGCTTCAAAAGTAAGCGGAGCAGCCTGGTGGAGGTCTGACTTACGGCTCATAAACAGGTCCTGCATGTTGGGGGGGAGACGGGGGTGGGGTCCGGGGACACCGCAAGGGGGTCCTTACGGGGGTCCCCTCAGTGTATATGAGGCATGGACTGTCAACCAGAAATGATCTCAAAGTCTGACTGTTGCAATCAGACGTTCAACTTTCAGTAATACATAATAAAAGTCCTGCAGCCAGAGTTTCAAAATAAGGTTAACCTGCAGTCTGCGGCTTTTTTTTTTTATTTATTTTTTATCTCAACTGAGAAGCAACTGTAATGAATATTAAGCAAAGTAACAATGTCAGCATCAGCCCCCCCCCCAACATAACCTACCATCCATCCCAGGTTGCTCTGCATGCAGGAGAACGGCTTGTCGATTCTCTCAAGGTGACATTTAAGGTGGATTAGAAGCAGAGATGTAGCTGCGCGCACCTTCCTCACCTCTGTGGAGGAGTTTAGTGCTTGGTCAGAGCTGATATGAATTCTCATCAGATCAACTGACAGCGGGTCATATGTCAAACTGAGCAGGACGGAAGATTTTAAAAATAACTTTCCTCCGCTGATTTTTTTTTTTTTTCTTTATCGGTGGTCGGGGCAGCAGATTGGAGGTCACAGTTTATCAGCTGTTTGTGTATCAATACATCGCTGTGTGGAGTTATTTGTCTGTATGTGCTGCACCAGTGAGGAAAAGACTCATGATAGTGGAAGGAGTTATGCTTTGGGAATAAATATTTATTGTTTAATTGATTAGTCACTTTGTCAATACAATGTTCAAAATAGTAAAAAAAAAAAAACCCAAATATATTGTCCCAGAGCGCCAGATGACTTTTTCTGTTTAGTCATCATCATATTATTGGAAAGAAAAGTGTCTGGCAACAAAGGCTGCAACAATGAATTGATTATCATAATAGTTGCTGATAATTTATTTTTTTGATTGAGTGATTGATCCTTTAATCATTTAAAGCACCTTAACATGTAAAAAAATGATAAAAATAAGAAATTCCCTTCTTTTTGTTCCATCCTGTTTTTCATCTTTCTCTGTGGAGAGGACTTCAGTGGTCTTTTCCCTCTTGCAAACAAAAGCAAACAAATTAGAAAATGTGTTGTTACAGTCTTTGCTTTGATGTCTCTCAGGTGGCTTCTTTTTTATTAGCTGTTGCTTTCTATAGTTTTTCTCATGCACGGCTTCTGTATGTTTGTTTTTGTTTTGTTTTTTTACACCCAGTGCAATGTACACTTTGCTATTCTAAAACAGGCAGGTGGTATCGATCCATTTCATGATTGATTGAAAATCTTCACATTTGAGGAGATGAAATCAGTGACTTTGTGTCATTTTTCTTTAATCACGTCATTGTGTTTTTCTTATCAGGATTGTTCCTGATTCATTTTCTGTTTATAGATTTATGACAAATAGTCTGAAGTTTGTTATATTTCTTTGGTTACTGAAGATACGAGGAGATCAGGTTTCTTTTAGGAGTGGAGAGCCACTTTAACTGTAAAACTAACTCAATATGTGTAATTATAAGCAGATACATGGAAGAGAATCCCTGGTAAGACGCCATACTTTGTTTTCAGTCGACAGTTTGTTTCATGAGGGTGTCACTTTGTTCAAACAGCAGATATTTCACTGTGAAACAGGAGACTTCCTCTCCTCCTGCAGCTCCACTCCAGCACATATAAAGATCCAGATAGGGATGATAGGTTTGATTCTGCGGCTTCCAGCATGATGAGAGAAAAAAAGAAGAATGCAGCATTTCACCAAGCAGCCGCTCTGAGCTCCATCTCCTCCTGCCTCATTTAAAGTTGACTCTTTCCCCCTGAGAAACCACATGATATCATCACCCTGTCCTCCTGGAGACCACAAGATGGCCCCATCTTGGCACCGTCAAAGCCTTTTGAAATTTTGACTGTGACACAAACCCGTCTCTATCACTTCTGTTCTCTACTAAGCTCCTCCATTGACCCTTTCTTTAATATTACAGTTTTCTGCATCTTTGGTAGTCGTCTTTTCTATTTATGAAAAAAGTAGTAAGAAAAACATCCATTCTCCCGCCTGCTGTCTGTAATTTGCTCTCCCTATAAATAAAAGACTTTGAAGCTCAGCGCTTCGATGTCATCAATAATTGTTTGCTTTTGTAAAGCTGAAATTGCCCTGCTTCTTTGTTGCTTCTATTGCCTTCTTGCTGCAGTTGTTTTCAGCTCTGTCTCCATTATTTCTTTCACGGGAGGTCAACTGAGTTGGGTCTCAGGATTGTTATAAATAGCACACAGAGTAACAAAGAGCTCCAATAATCTGAGCTGAACATATTTACTTTCACAGGGAGCAGAAGTTGCTTCGCAGCGAACAGCTAAGTAAAGGAAACACGTGCTTTATCAAAGGTGATGAATCTCTTCCACCAGTTTTTTGTGGTAGCTAAAGGGTGAACTTAAAAGCACTCAGACTGACCTTGGATCTGCACAACAACTTGTATTTTTCAAAACTGCCATGCAAAGACTTTCTTTCTTTTTTTCTTTTTTTTTTTATCTTACTTTGATTTCTAAATGAAACATTGAATGCAGTGTGACACCTGTTCTATCAGCTCAATCCGAAAGGCCACCCTGTGGACCAGCAGACTGAGGCCTTGAGGATTCTGATCATTTGTTGTCTAAAGTGCCTGAATTGCTGGGATTTTGTCAAGTGTATGAGCTCCCAGGCCAGGAGGGGATAAAATGCAATCTATGAAACAAGACCTCACTTCTTTCCTTGGATAGGAAAGTTCTTAAAGGTCCTATATCTTACACTTTCAATGTGTTTTACTTGAAGTGTTGATCCATAAGAAGATATATGTGTGGTATTAAGAACCAAAAACCATCTCAGTGTAGTTTTACATCTCTTCTCTCGGGCTTCTCTCTGCATCTCTAGTACCAACAGGTCAGTGAGCCAATCAGAAGAGAGGAGGCTCTGATCTTCTTGTTTGATTGGCTGACTGTTTTCTGAGTGATTGAATAAAAATACAGCAGATTTCAGGAAAGCACTCAGAGAAACCAAATCCTGCAAGGTTGGATGGTGTGTCGTGGTGGGGGCATAGTGGGGGGGGGGGGGGGGGGGGGGGGGGGGGGTTAGTGACTGTATACCTGTGACATCACAAAGTTCCTGACGGCTTGTTTTAAGGCTCAGTTTCTGAATACAGGCTGTGTGCATTCTTTCACTCCTGCTTTATGATCAATAAAGACATGGGAATTACCTCGAAACAATATGAGACCTTTAATCTGTTTTCCTATAAATATAAACCAACCTGGTGGAGCATCCCTTTAGTATTCCACTCTTCAGCACAGGACATAGTGTATTATTTCTTCACTATAGTTCTCATTAGCTGCCTCGCATCTTCGTCTTGTGAGGATGTATCTTCGTTGTTTAAGTCAGTTACAGACCGGCATGCAGAGGTTTAAGGGGAGAGGACGGTGCGTTTGTGTTTGTGCGTGACAGAGAGAGAGTTAAGGAAGAAAGATGCCTGTTGCAGCCATCAATATAAATTGAAAAGTCATGGATCACCTAATGAATTTGAAAAGTAATGATTCCACACATTGAGGTAATGCTACGCAGAATTAATTGGACAGCTTAGCGGTTGTATTTTAAGCTGCGTGTTCAAGAGGAAATATATTATTTTGACTGGCTGTAACTTGGCTGTAAATCCTCCGTGTGCTCAACACTTCCCCTCACAGTTAAGTGCTGTGCGAATCAGACTTAGTGAGCCATTCATCAGAGGGAGAATTTAGCAGGACTGCACTGCTACTGAAGCTCAACAGGTGTCTGCTGTAATATTCAGGCTGTAGTGTTTCTTTGACAGAACATGATTTGAGTTTGATGTTGTGCCCACACTGGAAAGAATTAATCTCATTAAGCTGACCAGTGTCACGATTTTATTGTCGCACCAACTCAACATTTGCCCTAAATGTCTGCTCTGGCTGAACACCAAGCTGATTATATTACTGAAGTGCAGGCAGTCTGCCCAGTGTGCGTGCTAATGTTTTCACTCAGCAGATCTGTGGACCATGCTTAGGTCACACTGCATGGGAATAGTCCACTTAGCAGCAAACACAAAGTAACTGCTCATTGTTTTGACCTCGAGGCATGGCATTACAATTTGGCTTGAATTTGCGTCCCCAAGGCCAAAGCAGCAGAATGATAGAGACAGAATGGGAGGCAGATCAGTGCACGGGGCTCTGGGGTAGGAAGTACAGTCTCTGCCGTGTGAGTGTGCAGCCTCATTCATCCAGTCTGGCTAATTTGCACCCCCTGGGAGCGATGTTGGAGTCTCTCACTGGCCCCCGGAGCACCAGCTGGACAAAATGCTGCTGATGATAGAGGTAACAGTTTCTATGGACTTTACAGGTCACAGTGAGAGCACGGGGAGGCCAGGCAGCTGCTCTCATTCTTATACTGTATATGCAGCTTTTCCTTTCTTACTTTCTAAATCAGCAAGAAGTCTCACTTATCTGCAGTGTAACACGTTCTGAGCTTTACTCACAGACATGCTCATACTGAACTGTAAAAGGACATTAAGTGGCATTTAGTGAACTAAAAGTCAACTGGAACCAAATGTAGACCGTCCCTCAGTTACCCCTAGGCAATGATGGCCTGTAATTGACCCAAACCATTTGCACAGCAGAGATAAGTGAGCTCTTCAGATGTAGTGTGAAAATGAAGGAAAATGGAACAT